AAGAAACAAACTTCCATTGGTAAAGTTCCTGAATGATCATGACAGCTGACAATTAAAGAAAATAACTGATAATGTGACAACAATTTTGTGCAGCAGCATACATTGTGTGACAGCCACTGAGTGAGTACAATGTTGTGTGACATGTATCGTTGTTGTGCGATACCAATGTGGTATGACAGCAATGCTGAGTTTGAGCACATTGTGTGACATTGCTGTTGTGTAATAAAAACAAGTGTTGTGTGACAGCATCACAAAGAGCATTGCATGACACCCATTTCATGACCCCACTTTCCTTTAAAGCATCAGTACTACTGTGTAGCATCAGTTATGTTATACTGTACACTACTTTCAAGTATAGCTGTGGAAACAGATATCAATCCAAGGGAAAAAATTGGTGTTTACACAAACACCAACGGTGTACTGTAGAGATTTAAGGAGATTTCACTGGACTTACAAAGGGTCTTCTTGTGTCCCAGCCTTGAATGGATCCATCCTAGGAGGAAATACAATATGTACAAAATAAAGATTAATACTGCAGTAGAGAATACAAATGACACCATTGATGAAGTACTAAACAATGGTGTTTAAAGTGCTGGTATTGCTGTTAGCTACTGTACTGCAGTATTTTTAATCTTGCTATCTCAAACTCCTCCCATATCTCAAACTCAAATCATTTCCTCTGGATATATACTTATTCAGTCACTCACCCTCTGCTATCTCGAGCCCCCAACATGTTAATCTATTTTTCCTTTCCCTTACGGTGATCAGTCCCTAGTAAAAGAACCCACCATAGATTTCCGATGAAACTTGGTATGCTGTTGTTACAGGACAAGGAGATATTAAAAACCTAGTAAAAAGAGGGGGTCACAGTGCTTGTTTTCACGCCACAATGCTGACAAATAAGGTTATTTAGGTGACTTTTGGTAATCTCCGTGCACAACAAATAAGCTCAATTATTTTTCAATGCAGCGTGTTATATCACACAGAGTTTGACTTTCTTTGATTGTTTATTCATCTACGTCCAAGAAAAAATGTCTTCAAATACCCTGCATTTTTTTTATCCTTTAAAGGAAACACAATTTGGACACACGCTGTTGGGCCCGTTATGTCTCCCTCTGTAGTATTTATTTCATTTGCCAAAAAAGTAGCCATAGATTTCTGCTAATTTCTTTCTCAGTTATTGAGGATATTGCTCTCACTGAAATTATGAAATAAAAAGTGAGGGTCACCGTGCTCGTTTAAGAGAAAGGGGGCATTTATTTCGCTATCGAGCTTAGTTTGAGGGAAATCTCTTATGTTTTGTACATGCACGCGCTCATGTGCGCGCGCTAATGACGCAAAAATTCATGGGCAGTAGGGAATTGCGCAATGCAGTACTAAGGAATCACCTTGAGAGTACCAGATAACAAGATAATGGAGTTACACTGTAGTTATCAATCATAGTATCAAAACTCTGTCCAACACAGTAACAAATTCATGTACTTACTACACGTACAATGTCACAGGAACAAGGCAAAATAATCATGTCAGTCATACATTTTTGTACTGTTACTTATTAAGAGCTTACTTGACATGCTGCTGCAATTATTCGTCCATCCTTACTGAAGCAGCAGTGTGTAGGAATTGTCTTCTTCCCTGAATGAATCAACAAAAAAAAWTTTAACAACATTTGCATTTCACAAAATGCAGCCCACACCTTACCATAGGTCTATCCAAGCACTAGGGTTAGAGCTACACAGATTCTCTTGCCTTGCTTGTTCTTGGTCTTGATAACTGAGTTTTGTTTTTCTTGGGGTTTTCTGTGTTCCATATCCTCACAGTCCTATAGCCAAAGAGAATGTTGAGAAAATAACAAAAGCTACTTAAGTTTATGTTTACATAATGACGTACATCTTTACATCACGCTGAAAGCTCAGAATCACACAGGAAACAGGGAAGGTGTTCTTACAAAATTACTTCAACCCATTATCAAACAGCAATGCCTTATACAAGTCATGTAAATTTAAAATAGAACAGGACTACAATAGGTAAGAGCTTTAAAAAAAATTACTAATTGCTACATACTTACATGTACACTTGACAAAAGTACCTAAAAGTGAATGCATTAAATGCATCCCACTGCACAACAAGGACTGATTACAAGTATGACATAGGGAGGGAAAAAGGGAAAAGCCTTGCACGTACCCATCATTGCTGCATGATATGAACTCATCTTTAACCTTTGGGTTCCAGCATGCACTGTTTAACATGGCCACATGACCCTGGAAAGAGGAATTTGCCACTTTAGAAAGTGATATTACAAAGAACAAATTAAATTTAATATTATGTGACAGAAATTAGTCTGTAAACAAAAGACCAACTAGAACATCTGGTACATCACAAGGACAGAGCAATATATACATGTATCAAGGTACTGTATGTTACAGGAGGTTTTAGTGTGTCTGAGGTTTTAGTTGATTAAAAAAATGATCAACCAAAGTACATTACAAGTCTTCAAAAAGTCAAAACAATCTCATACAAGAGACACATTTGTACGAGATGTATGAACAGCATGCCTCGATCCCAAACCCTATAAAATTGCAGTTGTCTTTTGTTTGAAACCATTTTATTAATATGCTTCTGTTCAACTGCTCAATTCCACACCAGGCAGCATTACTTGGCAGTTTCCATTTCTGAGGTGCTTATCAAATCGGATGATAGACACAATTTTAATTACTCCATAATTATATGTATGTACACTAGATACAAGCAACTCATCTTTTAGATGCCAGATTATTGTATAGTGAAACAGAGGCGTGTGGAAAACCATGAGAAGGGTGTAAAAAGTCACAAAAAATAAGGCAATAACTCATTGAAACTCTTCAAGCAAGCATACTTTAATGTTGGTCATGTCAACAATGTACTGATCTCCTTTCATGCATTCAAGAACCTCAAACCCATCTCTGTCGATCACCTTTGCCTGAAAATTTAATCATTTATTACAAATTGTGCAGTTCCAGAAAATATCCATGGATACTCCCTCCACAGATGGGATCAAACTGGAATTTCCTCAGGGGGTGGGGGAGGGTGAGGGGATCTTTAAAGCAAAAAATTTAAAGCAGAGGGTTAGGGGGGGTTTTTGGAGAAAATCCCTTCTATGGGAGAGGTATGAATATTTTCTGCAACTACACATTAACAAAACAGTTT